AAAAGTATTATGAAATAAGTAATAAGCAAGAGATTAACTCGTTTAACATTAAAGGGTTTAACGTTTCAAAGGTTATTACATTTGAAAACTCGTTTCTGAATTTATAATATTTGATACATTATTCCGTACACTTTAGACAAAATATTCTCCAAAATCCTTTCCCTTTCTCCGTTATATGAACTTATCTTTATTTTATCTTAATTGAAACATCAGAGCCGGTGAAACAATTACATAAATTTCATATAAACAGCCTGATCAATATGCTTATCTCTCTTCGACGGATTCGAATACAAACACAACAAGATTTGACCTTCAGTTATTTCCTCCGCAAATAAAATCTACAAACATCAAGATTCCCGATAGAAACGGAAATATATCAATTTCCAAATTTCATTCCACAGTTCGTCGTGTAAAAATATAACCATTTCAAATTCATGCTTCCTTCTAATTTCCAATTCATGTATCTCCATTCATAGGAATAAAACCACATAGGTCGTATATATCGCCTTCTACGAGAGAGAAAGAGGGGAGGAGGGAGGAAAGTGATCGAGCGGGAATTCCCTCCGATATTCGACATTTTTCGCGCTACTTCTCCCGATAAAGAATGGAATCCTTCTCCCCTCCCCATCTCCCCATCTTCCCCCTTCCCATCTCCCCATCTTCCCCCTCCCCTCCGCGTTTTGATCCGTTCGGCAAACAACAGACTCGCGTCGAGTAGACGTGTCCGACCAATCCCACTGGACTGGGCTGGTTGGAGAAAGGTGCACCGCGGACGACTTTTGCAAGAAAATTCGATAAAGCTGAGCGCGGCATCCGCGCTCATAGCTGCATGCATACTTTGCATGCGTCAAAAGGCGACCGGCTATGCCGCGATACATTGGTAAAATATCGGTTGTCCGCTCGAGGTAACCGACTTAAATCGATGCGATCCATTATTGAATAACTTGAGATACGTATTTTTTTATTTTTATTTTTATTTAATATTAATTCAGAAGGTTGTTAATTTGTGAGGAAGAAAATTATGTACAATCAGTATGGAGAAATAATAGAAATGATAGAAAGGAAATTCACTTGTTCTGAGGAAGAATCTGAGTTTTGAAGTTAAATTTTGTGTAACGATATTTCGATTGGAAATATTCTTTTTAAATTGATAATTGATTAATTGTATTTTGTAATTCGATATTTTTATCTTTAGGTATATTTTAAAGTAATATTGAAGAGATGATTTCAAAATAATATTAATAAAAAAATTTTGTATATAATTCACAGAATTTAATTTATTAATTTTTTAATGAGTAATAAATACAATGTAATTAATACAACATAAAATTGTATGTAAACTGTTTAACTATTTCTTTCGAATTTCGTGTTTTATAATTTTTTTATAAAAGATTAAACAATTTATTTAGATTTATAGAACGCATTGATAAAGTTTAAAGTCGCATAAAATCTATATAAAGAATTATTATTGGTTTTAATAATTTATGAATTCTTATGAGTTGTATGAAGATTTCTGTGAAAATCAAGTACACCTGTGTTTTTCGTTTATGAATGAGAAAGAATATTATCAAAGAATTAAATTTACATTATATTCATTGGATTCGATTCAACTATTTTTGCGTGTAAGTTTATCAATTTATATTTTCAGTAGAAAATTTAGAATAATTTAAATTGCGAGTTAAAAACAAGGAAGATCCTATTGCCAATTTTTGGCTTTACAAGTGTTCTTTGCTCTCTTTGTTCTACCAACTATTAAAAGTAATTAAAGACTTGGAAAATATTAAAAGATTTTAAGAAAACGAAAAATTAAAAACTTCGAAGCTCTGTTAAGAATCTCATCTTAAAAATTCGTAAAGCAACTTTTTTTGCATTAATTCCTTTTTTTCCTCTGGATTATCAGAAAGAAAGTTAACATCATTCTAATTTCTTCTTTCCGTGTGTGGTAACACAAACAAAAAGAGAAAGAACGAAAGAAAGAAAGGAAGTCGCGCGGTTTTCCGCTACAAAGCTCTCCGCGATACTGTTGAAAGAAAAGGTCACGATTTTCTTGTTAGAATTTCGTTCGTCCATTCTCTTTGGTTGGCCTCCAACCTCGGCAAATGCATTACGTACATTCCATACGGGGCAAAAACGTTTCGAGGAGGAGCAAAGAGAAGTCAATAACATTTCTCTGCTGCTGATTTAATTATCCCGTTGTCCCGTTGTCAATGGTGTCGCTGGTTTCGGTAAAGAATTCGTTCCAGTGTCGAGAGAGAGAGAGAGAGAGAAAAAAAAAATATCGCGTTGAAATTCATAAATCGTTCGCCGTGAAGCGGAGTTGCGAGATGAAAAATCGCTGTGGAATGCTATTGGCTTTCAAACGCGTATATTATTAAATATTTCGTTGAACCTCGTTGAATCTCGTTCCACGGTCGAAAGTTAACAGAGTAAAGTCGGTGTGTGTATACGAGTGTATACAGTCGAGAAAGATAGAGCGTCGTACAGGTATAGGAATAACTCATACGGAAAATGTATTTAGATAAATAATAACTTTGTTCGTATACTCTCTCGATTTCAATGTTGGATTGGCTTTGATCTGTAACAAGTATATTTTATCGATTGAACTTGTATGATCTTTTTGTATGATTTTCAATGTTTGTTTGAAAACTAATGTATCCAAATATTTATCCAATTTTATTTGAGAATTTTTGAAAATTTTCTTAACAGTTGCATTAATGTTATTTAAGGAATTATTTTGATAGAGGTTTTTACAAAATTTTAGTGAAAAGAAATTTAAATAAAAGATATATTCATTTGAAGATAAATGTAATATTCTAAAATGAATGTTCTTCATTGAAATCAAACTATGTGATTATAATATTCGTTAAAATAATTAATTCTGATAATATTATTTATAACAACTATAAATACATAGCAAAGATTTTGAGAAAATTTATATTAACTTGGCTTTTAAATATCATATAATATAAATAAAGTAGTTTCATTTTATAATATTTCCTTCTTTTTATCTAACGCAAATTTCAATTAGCTACAACTTAATGAACAAATCTCAATCGATAATTGTTTGAGAAATTTTTCAAAAATGAGCCACAAGTGTTGAGAAAATAAATATTATTTACTATTTTCATAATTATATTATCGAAATTATCTTACATAAAAAGAATATTTCTTTGATTGCAACGATTTGTTATATTTGATCTACATTTATTTATATTATTATATTATATTTACTTATTAAAAATATATTTATATTATATTATATTATATTATATTTATATTATATATATTATATTATATATATTATTATTATATTATAAACATATGGTTATTTTTTTTTTTACAACAGAAATAGAAAAGATTTTAAATTTGGATTATATGCAAGAAACCCAGAATTATTATAAAGCTATTAGTACAACTGCATATAGAAAAGAATAACGTTCAAATTTAATAATAAATTTTAAAAGCATAGATTAACGATAAAATTAAATTATTAGATATTTATAGAGAAGGAAGAATATTAATGTATATAATAGAAATAGAAACGAAGAAAGTAGGGAAAGAAAGGAATAGAATCTAGACAGATTTGAAATGGATTTGTTTCGCCATATAAAACAAACATGAAGCTTTATCGTTATCAGTGGAAAGAAAAGTTTTAATGGAATTTTATTTCGTGAGTCTCTGTGTTCCAGCTCTAATTAAATTATTTGATTAACAATCTACTTATTCATTCAGGAATTTAATAAAGTCATACATTTAGTGTTCATTTCGTGATGCAATCTATGCATCGACTATCTTATCTCCTCTCGTGTTATCATTTTGAGAATTTTGTTTCGAATAATTTGAATTTGAATTTGAATTCACTTTTTGAATATATAGAAATCATATTTCGTGTTACTTATTATAAAGTTTAAAATAAAATTCGTGTAAAGATAAACAATAGTGGCAGCTTTGAGAAATTTCGTTCGTTAGAAATTTTTTTCATCTCATTTCATGATCCATAAATATTTGGCTAAAGCAAAGGATTTTGTGTAACCCAATTTCAAGTTTGCGAATATCTTCGATTTTATGCAAAAGAGGTTTTTGTGGTAAATAAGATTGCTTAAGTCTTCGTGACATTTAACCTTAGTTTCCAAGTATCAATGAAATCGATAATACTATTTAGATAATCTTGCAAACGTTTAATGAGGTTTATCAGTTATCAAGAATAGAGAACGGTATTGCATCATTGGAGAACAAAGCTGATTCACAATCTCGTGCAAGGAGAAGGTCATAAATAAAGTAAAGATCGGATCCAGAAATTAATTCTTGCGGACAATCTGATTTGCAGTCATAAAACGAGAAAGAATAAATAGAAATACTGCAAACGAATAATCCATTGAATCTAATATATAGATCAATCTCTATAGATTAGATTATATTTTTGAAAAATTGAATCAAATTACAACAAATCTGTCTCATTCTTATTCAATTATTTATTTAAGGAACTGTGAAATACATTTTATGAAAATCAATTGTATTATTGTTATCAATATGTTCATTTGATATTTTTCCATCATATATTTTCTATCAAATTTATCTTTATATTAATATCTAAAATTTTCTATATTACCCAATTTCTGATTTCAATAATTTTATATATTTATATTATATTATAATTTTATATATAAATTCTAAATTTGGAATTAAAATTGAAGAAATATGTCAACAATAAATCTATCGTTGATTGATTGATCTTGAAAAATGCTTTGGAAATATAAATACAGAGATATACTATTTATCTTAAATAAAGTATCCAAGTATTAAATATTAATATAAAGATTAAATCAAGGTTATTTGCTGATTGTTATTTGCTTATTTGTTATCGTCTCATTATTCTGATATTATTTCGTTGCAAATAGTTTTCAATTATTTTACTTTGATGACACGATCACATTGAAAAATATTGAAATCTAAACAATCCTCAAATCAATTTTTAATGCTTCAAAAAAATTGTTTAAAATTTTCTTTCTATATTTTGATACATTGGTACATGTATATAATTTCTTCTTTTGTTTTTTGTCATACAATTCCAGTTCATATTTTTTGTTTGAAATCCATCAAATTTTTTTATATTTTCATTCCTATACAAATTTTCCTGCGTCATTTTCTGCTTCGATACACACTTATGACTTGTCGCTGAAAATTACTGTATTCTTTCGAATCTTTTTTCTTGTATTATCTTTTGAAAATAAAAAAGATATTTTTTCTTTTTCTTTTTTTCTTGCAAAATAAACAATCCAATTTCGTTTAATCGATTGCTCGACGTCGTGTGATCAGAAACATGCTCTTCCTATTTATCTTTTAATTTTATCTTCAGAGGTTATCTGTCTCATTTTTTTTTTTTTTCATCATATTGCACTGTAATTGCCTGTCGACTTTGATCCATCTTATATTTGTTGCACAAAGACATGATCTTTCACAATTTCCAATACTTTTGATCTCTGATAAATTTCTTTTTTATATATAACTTTGTATCAAGTATTTTGATTACAGTTCAAAATTTCTGTTTTTGATCTCCTTTCGAGTTCCTTTTCTTGTTTGTTCACAAGCTCAATTATCTTTAACTCAAAACTTTTAGAATACTGTTTATGCAACGTATATATATATAATATTTCCTCACTTTTTAATAGTAATTACCTAGTATATTGAAAGTAAATGTTGTTTACTTATTTTTGACTAACCTAAGATTCTTACTGTTGATTATTTCTTGTCATCAATCATTGAATTATGATTATAACATTTTTCTTTCCATATATTTTGCTTGTCCTCTATTTCTCTTTCTTTCTATTCGATGATAAATAATAATTCCTGATATATTATTATTACTTTCGACAATGTACAATGTATATGATTTATCTAGAAATGCGTTTCAAGAAATTTGTGTTTAAAAATATAAACCTTGTGACCTTCATGAATCATTTCCAATTGCAAACTCAAATAAATATGCTTCTCGATATTTTCCAACGATATTTTGTTTCCAACATTTATAACTTTTCGAGATATTTACGTTTCCAGAAAAAAACATATACACTGTAATAATAATACTTATATTAAGATTAAATCGAAAACTTTCTCAGGAATTGTTTTATTATTTGCAAATATTCTTCGAACAATTTTCCAAGGACAGATTATATACCTTAGATTATAAATATACAAGCTGACTATAATAATCTATCCATCAACTTCTCGAGTTCCGAGAAACTTCTGTTAACTTCCAGAAGCTTTAAAAATGTAGAATAACAAAATACTTTTCCTCTAGAGTTTTTTCTCTTTTTCTTCTTCTTCTTTTTTATTTTTTTTTAACATCTCCTCTAGTAATGTTATACCCAAGGGCTTCTCTTTTATTAGTATTTTTGATCGGTGTGGCAACGGGGGGGATAAAGTCGAAATCTTTGCTCCATTCAATTCCCACTCCCCTCGTTCGAATGCTATTAACGAGATAATCCACGTGTGATTGCTGCAGAGAAGAGATTCTACCGTAGATTTCCTTATAGACCCAAAAAAGCACGACCTAATTTTGCCAAAATTCGAGGTCAATTTTCTCGAGAGAGAAAAAATGGATGCGCGATCTTTTAAATCTATTAATTTTTCTCTTCACTGTTTCTTCTAGAAATTCTTGGATCGAAGATTTTCTCCAGTCATTTCACTCTTCTTGACGCGTTTCAGAAATTCTTTTTCTGATAATTGTATTTAAAATAATTTTTATCGAAATCATTCCTTTAGTTTTTCCAATTCTAATGGAAACGTAGCCCAAAGTAAAGATTGATAACGTAGATTTTTTCCCCCCAGTGAAAGAATTTATTAGTATTATTTTTTATTTATTTTTTATATTATTTTTTTATTATATTTATTATATTGTTATATCGTAAGATTTGAGAGTTTTAGATTTTCAATCAGTTTCAGGGAAGATCCAATACGGATAATTTATTTTGGAATAATCTATCGATGGTTGGGGGCAGTTCAGTTTATGAAGCATGTCGAAGTCATTTGTCGGTTCCAGTTAAGGGAGTGATCATAGTTCGAGATAAACACGTCGATAGTTAATGGACCAAGTTTATAGTGCGTGGATTTTAGAGGATAAATGTCTTAAC